AGTTATATAAACCTTTTATTATTATTATTATTGTTTTATAAAACATGTCAAATCAAAAAAAGTGCCAATTTTTCTTTAAGTTAAAATTTATGTCAGTCATATTTACATGATACTAAGCAAACAAGCACATGATATTATGTCATAATTTTATTATTTCAATTGCTAGCTTAGTTGAAACCTAATTTCTTTTAAATCTAGCATCATCAAGCCAATGATTTAACTGGAAAAAGTCACATAATTTCAGATGTTTAGAGATGTGATAATCTCGAGATATTCTTGATGTATTCTAACTATAAGTCTTATGTCTCAAAACTATTATGTATTATATCTAAAGCTCTTTAATAAAAATAAGATTTTAGAAAAACTGTTATCTAAATTGACTTTGGGTTTACACTGCTTTTGTGGTTTCCAGCAAATCTTTCACTGCTAAAAGATATTGTTGTTATAGGCTGATCATGGCCATATTGAGTTTTGTCATTCACAGATAAGTTTTGCTTTGCTAACTTACTGAGAGCACTTGAACATGATGTTTTAACAGAAGATGGACTATAGCAACTTATAAGAAAGACTATAATATTTTGGACATGGATGCCGTTGGACTGAATCAGGATTTTTGGAACTCTTGTGTAGAAGCTGACGAGGTTTTTCAGGTTACTGCTAATTCAGAATAACATACAAACAAAACTGGCTACATAGGACTGAGAGAACTGAAAGAATTACCATAACGTTTTTATGATAACATTGCTGATGTTCAATGTTCTAATTTTTAAATGTATAAAACCATTTTTATTTTTGTTTCCCATAGGAATCAGTTATTTCAATACCTAATAACATTATAGTTGATTATAGAATATCCTATAGATTAAAAGATGTTATAACACATATTAAGGTTATAATTAAGTACATTCAGAATGCTTAAATAATTCCACCTATGGACTTCAAGAAATGAATACTGAAATAACTATAATAAGAAAAGTAGTTCAAACCAAACAGCCCTCTCTTACGTTACCTATACCAGCTCTAATATTGTTAACCATTATAAATCTTTAATCCAATACTCTAAGAAACGCTTACACCGGTTAAAGATGCTTTTGATGACTGAAAACCAAAATCTCAGAATCTGCCTGATATTGTTCCAAAGAATTATGTATATGAGAAAAGACATCAACAACAAAATTCCCTGGAGTCTCATTGGAAAGACTGTATATAATTCTCCTTACTAAGCCTTATGCCACTAAATTACAGAGTTAAGACTTAAATACACCTCTCCCATTTAAAGAAGACTGGGTCTATTGTTTGAACCTTCCAGCCCACCAGAGGACTTAAACTGAAATTCAAATATTACAAGAATTAGAAACAGACACCTGGTGTAAACTTCTGATCCCAAGACCTCTGGCCCAGGTAAGGTCCGTATTCACCCTAGCTCTACACTTAAATTCTCACACTCATACAGACAATTGAAATTATTGGATTGTGCCTTATAATTTTTGTTTTTCTGATAACTCTAATCATACTACACCTAGTTAGTCTCCTTCTATAGTGACTATTTAATATGGAAACCCTTGAACTAATTACTCTCTGCTTGATACTTATAGCCTTTAAAATAACTCTGTTTTACTAACTTAGACTCATAGAATGATAATGTATTTGTTTCACCAATTAATAATTTAAGCTATTGTTTCATTACTCATTTCTCACTCATACAGGCTATTGAAATTTTTAGAATTTTCTTATTTTTAACAGCATTAATAGTTCTCATGGATTACATTTCGATTACCTATCCCTATGTCAAGAAATTTCCCTCCATAGTGTTAGTTTTTCATATCCTCACTAGAAGTCATTATCCCATTTAATACTTACAACCTTTGAAGTTATTTTCTTCGATAAGCAGGAACTCATAAATTGTTAATTTTAACTTATTAATTTCATGCTAGCATTATTATATTATATTGTATTAATCATTTTACTAATTCTAATAGCTACTATTTTTCCTGTTAAGAATAATATACATGCCTTTAGAGCAGTGTGCAGTCACATTATAGAGAGAGCAACTAGGGTCACATAACTATGTGTGTATAAGTTTTTTGCATGAGAAACTAACTTGAGCTGTAAACTTTCACTTAAAGCACAATTAAAATAAATAAATAAAAAGAATAATATATATGCCTTTAAATGAAGGAGGAATTTATTTTGGAAGCAATATAATTTTATGACCCTTGCCTTATTATTTTTGACTAATATTTTTGCATTATATAAAACCAAAAAAACCAAACCTGTTGCCATCGAGTCAATTCTGACTCATAGTGACCCTATAGAACAGAGTAGAACTGCCCCATAGGATTTCCAAGGAGTGGTTGGTGAATTTGAACTGCTGACCTTTTGGTTAGCAGCTGAGCTCTTAACCACTATGCCACTAGGGCTCCAGCTTTCTCTATGTATTCTCCTGCTGACTCTTGTAGCCCTCATTAAAACCTAGCATAAAAATGCCATGCTGTTCATGTATATAGAAACTGCCTATCTCTACAAAGAAATAGAAGGTCCCCAGGCCCTGGATTAACCATTCAGAATAGTCAAGGTGTTCCTCTAATGTGGCCCCACTCTTTACTAACCCACCTCCATGAGTTCACAGAAGCTGAATATCAAGCTATAGCATGGTGACGGGGTCCAGTGATAGCTGATTCCTAAAAGAAACCAAGCAGTGCAAAGACTTGTCATGACCAGTGGCCACTCAAGAATGACAATGTAAAGGCTCATTAAACTTAAATAGCCACCAAGAGAAGAACACAAGAACACAAACCTTCAAGTCCATGCGGAAGAAATATTCATTCAAAAAGTGATCAAAAGATGCTCATATAAATCTTTGATCAAAAGGAGGGAATGAGTAAGAGCAAGTAAACTAAGCACCTGACTAAAGTAAAATGGCTGCTTTAGAGTTTGGGGGTCTACTCTATCTTGCCTTTTTAAAATATGCCTTTTTAAAATATATATATAAATTCCTTCACAGGAGCTATCAAGACCCTCCCTGAAACAATGTCTCAGGAAGAAGACCTTGATGCTGACTCTTATCTAGGTATACTAGGCAACTGCTGACAAGAAACTTTTCACTTGAGCAAGCTGTTTCTAGAAGAGAAATGTCCTGTAACCTTCCCACTCCTAGCCCCACTTGCAGTAACCTGCCTTGTATTAATCTAAGTTTGTAAACAGTACAGTTCAAGTCTTTTGTTTTCAACCTTTTAAAAAGTCTCCACAGCGCTGCCATTTTGGAAGCATTTGTTCTCTGTGTAAAATTAGACATTGTTCCCAGTCTGGACTGTTATTGAAACTACAATAAATCTCCTTGCTTTACTTTAACAGATAAATGTTTATTACTCTTGACCCTACAGGACAGGTAGAACTGCCCCATAGGGTTTCCAGGGAGCAGCTGGTGGATTTGAACTGCCAACACTTTGGTTAGCAGTCAAGCTCTTAAACACTACGCCACCAGGGCTCCTTATTATTCTTAGACACCTCCTGATCAGTCACACTCTATGCATCAAATTATAAGCAGAATTATTTCCTTCTGGGGTTTGTTTTTGTAAAGGGCAACCTTTAAGAAAATGGAATCTCTCTTTTACTTGCTTTGTGAAGCACAATTCATTCTTCTATAAACCCTTATAGAGCTAGATAAAATGTTGAAGGTAAAGGAGTTAATGCAGAGAAGGTTTAGGCTAACACTTAACCCCAGGACCCTCCTTTTTATGAAATACACATTTGAAAGGGAGGAAGCCTCAGAAAACACATTGTAACAAATCACCCAGCATTAGGCTCTTGGAAAGATCAAAGGATTTCACTAGGTTCATGTCTACTGCAAACATTCATGGCAAATTTACATTTCTAGTCTTTTCTCATTCTCTGGAACCAAGATTTAAACTGTACTTACTGAATTGTGAAAAACTTAACCAGCGAATAGTGCTGGGTGCTAAAAAAAATTACTGCCACCTGAGCCAAATAAACTTTGTTAATCATATATATATAGCAGCCATATTTGTGAATCCTGCTCCTTTGGGAGACACCAAAGCATTATTAATATGTAGTTTAATATATTACTTACAGAAAGATATATTGGTATTAGTAAGTTTCCAGTGTCTAAGTTGAAGCTCTTTCTCTGATAGTAATTTAGACCACAGAAGGGGAGTATTGAAAATTCTGATTGAAGAATAATAGATTTAGTGAAAAAGATGAGGGAACAGCAATGAACCTTCAATTCAGGATGTCATACTGAGGAGGCAGAACTGGGTTTTTCAAGGCACTTCTCACAGCCTCATTTGATGGTGAGAGGCTACAATAAAAGGAGCTCCAAATTGTTACTGCAATGGCGGGTCTGAGCTGCCTAATGCAGAAGCCAATACTGAGACAGGGGTGAGGTGAGCAGCAAGAGTGTTTCATTGTATATCGATATACAGGAGACAGAGGGGAATGAGCTCCTCCAAAAGACCTGTCTCCCCTTTGGAGACTCACTGAAAGTTTTTATATGGACAAGATTATAGTTTTTTTCCCCAGTGGTTACATTCTGCACCTGGCAGTCCTTGAAGGTCATCTTGCCCCATTATTATCACGTCGCAGATTAGTTACTCTATCCTCCAACGTCGTTCTATCTCTCAAAGAGAAACTCAGTTAAAACTTTCAAAGTCATGGGAAAGCAAGAGTGAGGGATAGGAGGAAAACAAATTAAAATCATAGGAACATGCAAAAGCGAACTATGCAAGCTAGGCATTAACAATACCACAATACCCAGGAAGCCAGGCCTATACTGTTGGCAATAAACAATAAATGTGAAATTTTCACACAGCCCATTTCAAAATGACTTGCTCAAATAATTTTACACACTGTCTGACACAACAAACTCATATACACAAACCTAACTTTCCCAGCAATGCTGCAAGTCTCAACATGTTGGGAGGAGGATTGCAAGCCCAGTGCAAGATGAGTGAGTTAAGAATATCAAAGCGCGGTCCAGATACCTTTGGTCTTTTGTCTACAACATACATAAACTGGTTCCCTGGGTTCATTTGACTAATGGCCTCTAGCAAGAGCTCATCATCTATGCGGCGAGTGTAGAATCCAGACAGGGGTTGGCTACAGCGGCAAATGGCAGCCTGTAAAGAAATAGTGTGTCAGTCGATAGATCATATCCACAGGTGGTCAAAAGTCCTCCTTTGACCTCAGGTTCAGTGGGAGGAGGGAGAGGATGAGCCAACTCAGGATAGTATCCAAAGCAAAAAGAGATGTGGCTCTGCAGCTCACACATTCCACTGACACTGGGCTCAGCCTCCTGCCTCACCCAGGCATGTTGGCTGTGTTACTGTACACTGCTTTTTTCTTTCTTTGTGGCTCTGGTTTACAACCCAGTCTTGGCAAATCCAGACTACAAAAAAAAAAAAAAAATTACATCTTGAGTGTTTGCTTTATAAAATTCTATTCTCAGTATATATTGGGCCAGTATCTTTCTGAAACGGTCCTACTTTTAACAGTCCTAGTAATATCACCCACATAAAAAAGAGGTTTGCAGCGACAGAATTCAAGCCAGAGCAAATATCTACAGTACCTTAAGAAAACAGGGTTCATTTGTTTAGAGAGCTAATGCCAAGTCAGAGTGCTGGTTTGTTTCAAGCCATTTCTACATAAAAACAACATAGTTATTTAACAAGCATATACGGTAATGATTAGTTAATGGACTTCATTACACTTTGATGTGGTTTATAAGGTATCTGCTCACTTTGATAGTTTGATAAAAAGGTACTCATTTTTATTACTACACTCTCTAGGACTTGAATAGCTGCCAACTTGAGAATTTGACTGTCTAACCCGAGACCTCATAGTGACCACAAGAGGTAAGAACTATTATCACTTCCTATGGAAGGGGACTCAGAGTAGAAAGGAATCAAATGCTTTCTTCTACAACCTTAAATTAGATAAAAAGCAATGATAAAGAATCAAGGACATCTGTGTTCTAGTGGGAGGCCACAGTCCCCAAATATCCTCTCAGACAACTAACTGCCTTTCATTCTACAACTTCCCACCAAACTGGAGCCCACAGAGAAGAAAAGAAACAAAAGAATGTACTAAAAATACCACTTAAAATCTGCACAGCATTTTACAATTTACAAAGTACATTTATGTATTTTTCCCTCATATGACCTCTTAAAAGCCCTCAAAGTACTAAAGTTCAGAAAGGTTAAATAACTTGCCCAAGGTCACACAGCTAGTACCTGGCAGTGGTGAGACTTAAACCAAAGTCTTCTAGAGCCAAGTTTAGTTCTCCTGAGAGAAGTCTGCTCAACTCACATTGTTCTCTTTGTAGAGGTAGGAGAGCACAGGGACACGTTCTTTACTTCTGAACTTCGAACTTCCAACCACTGTTCCCAAGGTAACAGATTTAGGAACCACTATTTCAGGAGGGTATGCACTGCATATCTAAAAAAAAAAAAAGCTTATTTTTTAAATTACATTTTACACTTGCTAGGAATAGGATGGAATAGCAATCATTCAAGCATTGACTGGTATTTATCATCTAGAATCATCCATTCCTCAGAAATAGGAACAAAAAAATCATTGGTATAAAAGCTTTTCCAAGTATGCTATTATTTTTTAGAAAGGAAGGTAGTGAGACATGCAAGAACAAGATGTACCTTCAGAATAACCAAAATTATAGGCAGAAACACATAATAAAACACATAATAAAATGAGCAAACAATGTGTATTATAAACAAGTAAATTAAAACAAATAGACTCAAATGTAAGGCAGACATGTGGAGAAGGAGGAAATATGATTTACTCTTTCCTAAACTGCATACTGGGTTCCTAGTATGCATAACTTGAGGGCCTTTGAAACACTAGTCTGGGGGTAGAGGTGTTGACATTTTAGGTGTGACTTACTCTATAAAAAAAAACTGATACATTTTCTCAAATTTATCAGCTTTTAGTGGCTATCAAAATACATCTCTCCAAAGAGAATGATAAAACATTATAACACAGACACGTTGAAAAATTAACTTTACCCATTCCCCTAAGTAAAGAATATACCATGACATTTGACAATGGATCATAAAATGAAAAACGAACAAGCAAAACAAGTTCAAGGTGGATCAGATCAAAAATGTTCCTTGTAACTTATTAAAGTCAATGTCTGTAGAATGCAGACCATTTGAAACAAGAAAAAGTTTCCTACCTATCTCCTTACCTGGACTTAGACTTTGGAGAAGCAGATCATATAGAAATAAATGGAGCTTCTCCTTTCAGCTCAGAAGGCCATACTCATCCAAGGGTCCAATATTTCAGACCTCATTCGGGGAACTTAGACACATATTTGAACTGGAGAGAATTCACCCCATCTTTACTCATTCCTGTCAAGCATGACCCTAACAAACCACCTCTCAGCTGGCCCTGCTAAGTGACAGCTCATGAATCCTCATAGCTATTGGATACTCAAAGCTGTATTTCCAGAAAGCCATTATAATTACTCTTATTATGATAGTAAAAAGATGAAAATAACCATAAGAACCAACAATTTAGGGATATTTAAATACCAATGACCCCCTGTGCAGAAAAGAGTTAACATAGCAGGCCTGACTGTGATACTTTAAAAGACCTGCTTACAAGGTTGGCCCTTGACTAGCATCTGGGAACTTGGAATTTGGGAGGGTTTCGACAATTCCCTAACTGATAAGAGTTGCTCATTCTGCCTAAACTGTACAAACAATGTGGTTTATGCTGAACACTTGCTTTCCTTCTGGGAATCTGAAATATTGGTATGTGCTAGCCAGAGGGTGCCTACGTGACGAGCCCCAAATTAAAATTCTGGGCACTGAGTCTCTAATGAGCTTCCCTGGTAAAAAATGTTTCATATGTGTTGTCACAATTCATTGCTGGAGTAATTAAGCATGTCCTGTGTGACTCCATTGAGAGAGGACTCTGGGAGCTTGTGGGCGTTTTTTTCTGGACTTCACCCCATGTGCCTTTCCTTTTGCTGATTTTGCTTTGTATCCTTTCACTATAATGAATCAGAGCCATTAGTATGACTACATGCTGAGTCCTGTGAATCTTCCTAGTGAATCACTGAACCTAGGGGATAGTCTTGGGCACCCCCAACACAACTCCGCACCTCTATATTCAGCCCAGATCTGTTTTTTGAGATCCAGACAAAAACGTCCAAATAGCTAGCTGCTTGATATCTTTTTTGTGAATGTGTGTGCTTTAGGTGAAAGTTTACAGCTCAAGTTAATTTCTCATTCAAAAATGTATATCTTTTTTAAGCTCCTTGAACTCAAGGTTAAAACTGAAGACCCTGTCTGTCCCTCTTCTTGTGCTCCTTATGTTGGTTAATGTAACCACTACCCACTTGTTCATTTAAGCCAGAAACCAGGAAATATGGGATGCATACTAAACTTCTTTCTCCCAGCCACATTTAATCAGTCATCAGTCACCAGGTTCTTCCATTTCTTCCATATAAATATATTTTAAATCCATCTCCTCCATCTCTAGTCATTGCCTTAATTCAACTTCTTATCACTTCTTGCAGCATTCTCTTGCATTCTTACTACCAGCAAACCAATTCTCCACACCAATACCGAAGTTATCTTTTAAAAATACAAATATAGTCATGTTCCTTCCCAGCTTAACATAGTCTAGTGGCTTTCAACTACCTTTAGGATAATGTTCAAATTCCTTAATTTGGCCATGAAGCCCTTTATGATCTGGTTTCATTTCCTGATATCCTTCCTTCTCCCCCTGTATAAAAGCTAGATTTCCTTCTCCAGGTTATTGCCCAAAGCTTCGGGCTGTTTCTGGCTTCCCAGTCTGAGTTCCACATCCCTCATTTATGCTCCCCAAACATGCTATGCATGAGATATGTAATGCAGTGAATAAATGCTTATTGAATGTCTGAATGCTGAATGAAAAGGCGAGATTATGAGTGTTTTTTTCCTCTTTTTTTCAAAACCTTGTTTGTTTCTATTCTGCTGTTTTAATTAAATGATATCCCATAGCACCAACAAGGTAACAACAACAACAAAATTACGTCATAGTTTCTGTTGGCATCTGTTATGGTCCAGTACCTGTTGGGTATTCCCATACACCCAAAGTCTGATATGGGGTCAATCAGTTTCCATCAATTTTCCCTCATCTCTTTTGAATATTAGGGATTATAAGAAAAAGCATGAAGATCTTCAGGTAATGCTGGGGAAGAGAGACAGGCATGAAAACAAAGTAATGATGAGAGAAACTTAAAGATCATCAAACACTGCATAAGGTTAGATTTCCTTCTCCCAAAGGGAATGTTTGTCAAACAGCCCCAGAAAACTGTTTTGTGTACAAGTTTGCCTTTATGTAAAAAATAAGAACTGGAATATTGCTTTGGATATTGCTTTGGAATATTCTTCTTTCAAAATCTTTTGATTTTCTGAGATACCAGTACAAAGCAGGAAGTTTCTGCCTGGCTTCCTATAAAAGGGAGTGTTAGATAACGGACTGAACTAGGGCTTCAGGGTTTCACATGCTAGGAGAGTGGTCCTTACCAAAAGTTTTTAATTGAGCTTAAATGTCCTGCACCACTTGTTGTAACATGTTATACAATATTAACAGTGTACTTGTCAGGCTAATACCAGCTTCTAGCTGATAAATGGCCATGTCTTCTCTTTTTCCTGTCAATCCTACTTTTTCCCTTCACAAGATGTAACATGCAATCAATAACTCATTTGACCAATTTATGTGGCAACAACTTTTCCAGAGATGGAAGGAGCCTGCCAGAGTGCTGAGCCAGGCAACAGGTAACCTCTGTCAATAAAATACCAGCAGACACTGAAGAATTATTCTAGGGAAGGGGGAAGAAAAGGAGAGGGAAAATGTAAGAGCATGGAAATTCCACAGACTAAAACCAAAGGAAGCTGATCACCGACATGAGTTAACTGTCGAGGTGGGGGGCAGGGAGGTGAGGACTGGCGGATGAGGAGGTGAGGCTAGAGGAAGCAGGGACAAATGCATTACTGAGGAACTTTGATAAACTGCCCCTGTAGTTGGTACTGAGGGTAGATGTGGGAACAGTGGTGCAAACATAAAGCTTGCAGGACAACAGGAAATAATTTTTGCTCCAAAGCAGTTTTCCTTCCTGAACTGATGAAAAATTTACAAGTTGACACTTAAAAGGCAGAGGGAGAAAGCTGGAAATACCATCTATTAAACATTTACTATGTACCAAGTACACAGTAAAATACATAAATGCAGTTAAGCCTCATAACAAGCCCCAGGGGCTTGTTAAATTATTCCTAATTTTACTGGTGAGGAAGATGAGTTCAGAGGTTATATAACTTGCCCAAATATCACGGAGCTGGTAAGTGGCAGAGCCCAGATCCAAACCCTGATCTAACTCTATAGTCCATGATGTTTCCATTATGACAGTCTGAGAAAAAAAATGGTTTTAGATAAAAATATTACGACTACCTGGCTGAGAAAGCTTGAGCAATGAAACATAAACTTCATGGCATACAATGTCAAAGTCTAAAACAAAGTGGGCCGCCTGAAAGTTCTTGCAGTGGAGGATCAGGGGACAGCCCAGGTTAGAGATGGGCAACTTCTCCACAGTGGCAATGTGATGGAGTACAATCTGAAAACAAGAAAAAAAACAAACTATCTCACTAGCTCTATCACTATCAGTGTGCCTGATTCTTAGTAATGGTCAGAGATGCAATCACACCTACAACCATTTATTTAAGACACACTGAGTTTCTCTCAAACAGAAATAAAGCATAATTGTGGTAAGGCAATGGGGAACAATTTTCAGTTTTACAAAACTTTTCTCTCCTTAGGTACAAAGAATTAACAGGTCATGGGACAATTTTGGTGGACTGGCTCAGAATACATGACTTCTTAGATGTTATGGTGGAGTTTAAAATCACAGTAGAAAAACTGTCACAAAGGAAAAAAAACATCCTTTTGTTCTATCAAATTAATAATTAAAATAATGATTAATAATTGGTATTGTGCTTTTTTACTCACAATGTAGTCCATGACGATTAACTTACTTAATCCTTGTTATAGCCTTATGAAGTATTATCATCCCATTTTATGAATGAAGAAACCAAAGCTCTGAGGAGTGAATTTCTCATCAGAGGTCACAAAACCAGGAAGTGGCACATACAGTATTTGGACCATGGCCATCTAACTCCATACAAGTCCAGGGTGCTTTCTCTAGAAATTCTAGTTCTGGAATTCGGATTTAACTAGAAGCATTTGGGGGGAAATGCTCTCCCACATTTCAGACTGCAGCAATAGTAAAACAAAGAATGAAGGATGACTAAATCTTTAGTAGTCTCCTCACTACCGCCCATGCTGATGCCTGCAAAAAAGAAACTCATGGAAAAGGAATTGGTAAAAGAAAATGTGTTCAAATAATACAATTTTCTCTTTATGGATTAAATAAGGAATGGAATTGTAGTTTTATGAGTCTTAGATGTTCTCCTTCTATTTATGTCTCTGATGTTTCCTGCAACTAGAGCCTGGATGTGTTCTTTTCATTCTCTGGACTCCCTGTCCTGTGCCTGGAAGGCTTTCCAATCAGCTTTTCTTCTCTTCTACTCTACTCTGCATATCCCAAGTCTAAGCCCACAATTTATGTGGAAAATTTATCTCCTTCCATAAAATCTTCCAATCATATCTACCATCTGTGAATGGAGAATATTGGGTGTCATTCACATTCCTAGGAGGAACTTTCTATCTTAATTATTTTGTCAAACTCAGTTCCTGCCACAGCAGTTTCGGAGAGGCCACAAAAACTATTGATAATGTAATAGGAAATAATATATCAAATTTCAAGAAAATCAAAGTCCTGTAGGTCAACAAGGGAGATCTGTGTTTGGATAGTAAAACAATGACCATCAAGAGCAGGTGGCAGGCAAACAATTGTGGTGTGCAGGGGGCTATGTGTGTTTGGAAGGAGGGAAGGTGAGGCAGACTAAGGTTGGGAACAACTTCATTATATAGTACTACTTGGGTAAATATGCCTCCTTTGACATGTAGAAATAAGTAACATAAATTTTTCCTTCCGGATCCAGTCCCCTGCTTTTGAAATAAAAGCCAGTAAGAACAAATCTGGGGACATGTGTGTTGTTCATAAAGGCAGGTAGAAACGAGATAGGCTCATGTATGGTACTCAAGAATTAGGTTCTAAACTGTTAGAACTGGAAGGGTTCTTACCAATTATATAATCTAACCACTTCATTTTTACAGATGAGGAGACTGAAGCCCAGAGAGGGAGAGTCACTTTCCCAAGGTCACACAGCCAGTTAGTGGCAGAGCTGAGTCTAGCCAGAGCCCAGATCTCCTGATCACACTTTTTGCGCTATTTTCATCATACCAAAGAGAGCAAGACACAATCTTGTATAGGGAAAGCTCATGAGATTTTAAGAAGGAGGTATTAAAATACATTTATATGTACATTAAATCAACCGAAATTATTTAATGCTCATATAGTAGCATTTACCATGTGCCAGGCACTGTTTTAACATTAATTTTTTAATCCTCATAACAAGGTACTATTATCCCTATTTTACAGATGAAGAAAGTGAGCCACAGACAAGTTAAAAAACTTGCCTAAGGTTACAAAGGTAGTAAATGTTGAAGCTGAGATTTGAACCTGAGCAGGTTGGCTCTAGGGCCTGTGATCATAATCACTATGCTGTCGTATATAAGAAGCATGTTATTCTTGTTAAAAATGAAAAAGTCTAAGCAAAAATCTGGCTAACGATTAAGTTAAGATTAAATTATGCTACATTAGGGTAGGCAAGTCATAAGTTAGGAGTGCTAAAGGAACTCAAAAACATTGTTTAAAAGCAAAACAACACACACACATACCATACTTGGGTGAAAACTTACCTTAGGACAGAGAGATGGTCTAAATCAGTATTAGTCAAGGTATGGTCATGGGCACCCAACATGAGCATTACCTGAGAACTTTTTAGAAATTCAGAATCTTGGGCCAGAGATTCTAGATTTCTAACAATCTCCCAGGTGATATGGATGCTGCTGGTTCTTGTACCACATTTTATGGGTAACAATGTTTTAGATTACTTCAGGATGCTCACCAACTAACTAGGCTAACAAAATGATCAGAAACTACCCCATCAAAAACTACTAAGGTAAATGCTAGGAATATTCTTGGGTAGTCTAAAATGACAAAAATGACTATAGCCAATAATAACTTTGGGGGAATTTGAATTATATGATTCAGTCTTATGAAAAGTCTCCTGGAATAGGTTCTTTGAAGTAAAGGTTTTACAGCAATTTGATTAATAATGATACTATGAAATGTCAAGAAACCACCATATTAGAAAGCATGTTTGCACAGCTCTTTAAGATCTTTTGATATTTCTTCTCATGAACATACCCATGTTTCTTTCTGGGCTGCACAGAAGCCTCCACATGTATCAGGTGGGTTGCAGTGAGATAGAGAATCCCATTAGCTGGTTTCTTACCCACATAATGATCCAATAATTTCACATTTTCTACCTGTTATTTAGAGAAAAAATACTGATTAAGTTATCAACTCACCACCCATGATTATAGAGGGAAAATTCAAAGCATGACAAATGCTATTAATTTGCTACAAAAATTTCTTTGAGGCTTTCCAGTTCCTGCCAAGATGACAAATTAGTATGATCTGATGCTTCCTTTTCCTAAATAAGCCCTGGAGAGACTAAAGAAGTGAAAGGAAAACACAGATTCTAGGAAGGATTAAAATGGTAGGCTAGGAGGCGGGGCCAAGATGGTAGACTAGTCAGATGCTTCCTGTTATCTCTCTTAAAACAAAGACCTGAAAAAGTGAATCTATTATATATGACAATCTAGGAGCCCTGATCATCAAAGACAAAGCTGAAGAGTCAGACTGAGTGGCAGGGGGATGGAGAGACAATTTAATAGCAGCAAAGAAGTGCCAGTCACAAGGTTGCCAGCACCTTGCTGGCTGGTTGGCCTGCACACGTGGGCTGACATGAGCAGTAGCATTTGGGACACGTCTCACCATGTCGGGACAGGCCGGGTGGCGGCGAGTCAGCACAAGCCTCCCGAGCTGGGTGGAAGTGGCACTGGACCTGCGAAAGTTAAGTGCAAGCATTTAACCTACCACATGGGGACAAAATAACCCCTCCCCCTCTGGGAGTTTCACAGCAGACAAGTGCTTCCTTACCCTCACCTACCCCACTTCTTTCCGATACCAGTCCAGCAGTATTCAACAACTGCCACACCACTTAAGCCGGAACTCAGGGCTATCTGCACCCACACCAGTCTCACTGTTTTTAAAAACATCACACTCCCTAAGCCAGGAACTCAGGGCTGGTCGGGAGGCACTGCCCTTTCATTCAGCCACTGGCATAAGGGGTCCACAGACTTGCAGCACCCTTCATTCCTTCCTAGACCTGTGTGGACTGATTCAACACTGCAGGCCCTAATTAGCATAAAACAACAGGTCATACACCTGAAGCCCATTTTCAACTGCAGCACCAAAGGGGGAGTCGCAGATCCCTGACATCTGACACTGCCCTGCCCATTAAGCAGGGACCTCACCCCCCCACATCAGGGGCCTGAAGGGCTAGTGGTACCACCCACACCATCGATGACAGGGGTCTGAGAATAAGTGGGGTCTCCTAGTCCCTCCAGCTAATAGCACTGGCTGCTCAAGGACCAGCTGCAATACACAACCTACTATGCACTCTAGGGTACAGGGACACACCCTCCACCCAGGAACCTGTGGCAGCCATCAGCCCACAGCCTGGCTCCACACATAGCCCACTACTGCAGCCAGATACCTGTGACTGCTCCAAACACCTCTATGCAGCCCTGCCCATCTAGGACTATAGATGAAAGTTTGCACCACACGGTGACTGATGACCTGGACACCTGTGCCACACATGCACAAGAATAATGAACAGTCTCCTGGGCTCGCACACCTAGTAGCTGCTCTAACCACCTGGAGACAGGACATGAGAGCTTCAAAAATGCCAGTAACCAAAGTAACTCTTCACACGTCCAGCCTACTTGGGCATATCAAAACAAAACAAAAAGCTAGGACACAGTAAAAAAAATACAATAAATAAATAGAATAACTTATTGATGGCCCAAAGAAAACAGTCAATATCAATCACATAAAGAAGCAGGTCAAGATTCCTCCAGCAAGCAACCAAAATACAGAACAAGGAAACCTTCTGGAGAAAGATAAGATAATGGAACTACTGGAGATTCAAAAAAATCAATATACAGAGCTCTCCACGAGATAAGGAGATAAAAAAAAAAAAACCCAGACAAAGCAATGGAGCACACAGACAAAGCAATAAAGGAATTCAGGAAAACAATACAAGAACAAAACAACAAATTTAACAGGCTGCTAGAAACCATAGAGAGACAGCAACTAGAAATCCAAAAGATTAACAATAAAATTTCAGAATTAAACAACTCAATACAAGGTTGTAGGAGCAGAATTGAGGCAATGGTAGTCAGAATTAGTGAGACTGAAGATAAATCCATTAACATCAATTTTATTTGAGGAAAAATCAGAAAAAAAGAATGAAAAAAATTAAGAAAGTCTAATAATTAGGTGGTATACTATCAAGAGGAAAAATCGACGAGTGACCAGAGTACAAGAACAATGGGAGATAACAGAAAACACAGAGAGAATTGTTGAAGATTTGTTGGCAGAAAACTTCTTTAATATCATGAAAGACAAGAAGATATCTATCCAAGAAGCTCAATGAACCTGAAACAGGGTAGACCCCAAAATAAAGTACCAAGACATACTATAATCAAACTTGACAAAATCAAAGACAAAGACAGAATCTTAAGAGTGGCTAGGGATAAATGAAAAGTCATCTACAAAGAAGAAACCACACAGATAAGAAGGCAATGGAATGACGTATATAAAGCCTTGAAGGAAAAAAAAATGCTAGCCAAGAATTATATAACCAGAAAAACTGTCTCTCAAATATGATGATGAAATTAAGTCATTTTCAGATGAACAGAAGTTAAGGGAAGTTGTAAAAACCAAACCAAAATTACAAGAAATATGAAAATGAGTCCTCCAGTTAGAGAACCAACAATATCAGACAACAGCCCAAGACAAGAACACGGGACAGATCAACCAGTTATCAACCCAGAGAGGGAATTCACAAAAACAAAGCAAAGCTAAAAGACTGAAAATAGGGACTAGAGACATCAATATTTAAACAATGACAGTGAGAAAACAAAAAAGAGGGAATAAACAGTGGTCATAGAATTTCCATACAGAGAGGTAGTTAAGGTGATATCAAGAAACAAAAGATCAGTTTAAACTTAGAAAAATAAAGGTAAATTTTAATGTAACCACAAAGGAAGCTAACAAATCTACCCATTAAAATAAACACAGAAACATAAAGACTCAACAAACACAAAATCAACAATAACGAAAAAAATAAAAGAAAATACATAAAGAAAAGCAACTCAGCACAGAAAACTAATTGGAACAAACTGTCAACACCACAAAAAAATACATCAAAATTACAGCAGTAAAATCAAACTTATCAATAATTACACTGAATGTAAATGGACTAAATGCACCAATAAAGAGACAGCGGCAGAATGGATTAAAAAAACACAATTTGTCTATATGCTGTATACAAGAGACACATCTCAGACTCAAAGACACAAACTAAAACTCAAATGATGGAAAAAAATGTATCAAGCAAACAACAACCAAAAAAGAGCAGGAGGGGCAATATTAATCTCTGACAAAATAGACTTTAGGGCAAAATCCACCACAAAGGATAAGGAAGGACACTATATAATGATTATAAGGTCAGTACACTGTGAGGACATAATCATAATAAATATACATACACCCAATGACAGGGCTCAAAAATACATAAAATAAACTCTAATAGCATTGAAAATAGAAATAGACAGCTCTAAAATAATAGTAGGAGACTTCAACACACCACTTTTGGTGAAGGACACAATGTCAAAAAGAAACTCAAAGATATGGAAGATTTAAATGTTGCAGTCAATCAACTTCACCTCATACACATATACAGAACACTCCACTCAACAGTAGCCAAGTATACTTTCTTTTCCAACGCACATGGAACATTCTCCAGAATAGACCACATTTTAGGCCACAAAGTAAGCCTTAGCAGAATCCGAAACATTGAAATATTACAAAGAATATTTTCTGACCATAATGCCATAAAAGTAGAAATCAGCAACTGAAACAGCAAGGAAAAGAAATCAAATACATGGAAACTGAACAACACATTGCTCATAAACTATGGGGTTATAGAAGAAATCAAGGATGGAATAAATAAATTCATAGAATCAAATGAGAATTAAAACACATTTTATCACCTGGACTCTCTGTCAACCCAGCACTAAAACCATTCCCGAAGCCAAATCTTCAGATAAAGATTAGACTGGACTATGGGACATAAAATGATACTCATGAAGAGTGTGCTTCTTAGCCCAAGTAGATACATGAGACTAAATGGGCAGCTCCTGTCTGGAGGTGAGATGAGAAGGCAGAGAGGGTCAGGGGCTTAGCTGAATGGACACGGGAAATCAGGGGGTGGAAAGGAGGACTGTATTGTCACCATATAGGGACAGCAACTAGGGTCACATAACAATGTATGTATAAATTTTTGTATGAGAGACTAACTTGAATCGTAAACTTTCACTTAAAGTACAATAAAATAAAAATAAAAAAGTTAAAAAAAACAACAACACATTTTACCGGAACCTTTGAGACACAACAAAAGCAGTGCTTAGAGGTAAATTTAGACCAATAAATGAACACATCCAAAAAGAAGAAAGGGTCAAAATCAATACAGTAACCCTACAACTAGAACAAATACTAAGAGAGCAGCAAAAGAAGCCCTCAGGCATCATAAGAAAGGAAATAATAAAGATTAGAGTGGAAATAAATGAAATAGATAATAGAAAAATAACTGAAAGAGTCAACAAGATCAAAAGCTGGTCCTTTGAAAAGATCAACAAAATCGATAAACTACTGGCCAAACTGACAAAAAACAGGAGATGAAGCAAATAACCTGAATAAGAACTGGGATCGGTGATATCACAACAGACCCAAATGAAATAAAAAAGATCATAATAAAATACTATGAAAAATCGTACTCTAACAAATCTGAAAACCTAGAGAAAATGGACAAATTTCTAGAAACAGACTACTTACCTAAACTAATACAAACTGAGGTAGAAAGACTAAATAAACGTATAACAAAAGAAAAGATTGAAGAGATAATTAAACCCCCCACTCCAAAAAAAAAAAAAAAAGCCCTGACTGTGACAGCTTCAGTGGAGAATTCTACCAAACTTACAGAGAAGAGTTAACACCACTAATACTAAAGGTATTTCAGACTATAGGCAAGGATGGAATACTCCTGAGCTCATTCTATGAAGCCAGCATAACCCTGATATCAAAACCAGGCAAAGAAATACACAAAAAAGAAAATTACAGACAAATATCCACCATGAACATTGACACAAAAATCCTCAACAAAATTCTAGCCAATAGAATTCAACATGTCAAAAAAATAATTCAGCACAACCAAATGGGATTCATATTAGGTATGCAGGGATGTCTCAACATTAGAAAAACAACCAATGTAATTCATCACACAAAGAAAACAAAAGACAAAAACCACATGATCTTATCAATCGATGCAGAAAAGGCATTTGACAAAGTCCAACACCCATTCATGATAAAAACTCTCAGCAAAATAGAAGGGTAATTCCTCAACATAATAAAGGGCATTTATACAAAGCCAATAGCCAACATCATCCTAAAGGGAGAGAGTCTGAAATCTTTCCCCTTGAGAAGAGGAACCAAACAAAGGTGTCCTTTATCACCACTCCTGTTGAACATTATGTTGGAGGTTCTAGCCAGAGCAATTAGGCTAGAAAAAGAAATAAAGGGCATCCAAATTGGTAGGGAAGAAGTAAAAGTATCTCTATTTGCAGATGATATGATCTTATACACAGAAAACCCCAAAGAATCCACAAGAAAACTACTGGAACTAATAGAAGATTTCAGCAAAGTGTCAGGATACAAGAT